GTGTGTGTGTGTGTGTGTGTGTGTGTGTGTGTGTGTGTGTGTGTGTGTGTGTGTGTGTGTGTGTGCATCCTCTTCTCCCTATGCTTCATCTTCTCCATCTCCTTGCTCTTGTCCCTCTGGCACCTCCTGGTACTCAGCCTCCTTTTCATCTCACTCTTCTGCCTTGTCCTTATTTTCCTCCTCCCTCCCTCATTACTGGCGCCTTCACTCCTTCCTTCCCTCATTACTTTCTCCCTCCCTCCCTTCCTCCCTTCCCCCCTCTCTCCCTCCGTCGGTCCTCTCCTTCCTCCCTCCCTCCCTCCCTCCATTCTTCCCTCTCCCTTCCTCCCTCGCCGCCTGCCTCCCTCCCTCTCTCGCTCCCTCCCTGTAACAAGCTCTTCTTTGTGCAAGTAGGAGTGATACTCACACACTCACACTCTGACAGTGACGCCACACTCGGAGAAGAGTACCAGCTGCAAACTCCTAGCCATGCTCACATACAATGTCTGCAGTACCGCACAAGATGTCACACACATTTGTTTTGACTGGTACATATTCTGGAGAGCAGTCTAACAGCGTGGCTGTTCTCCAGTGTATCTCCGCAATAAGCAAGAGTACCACAAAAATATCGGCTAAAAATGTCTCAAGAACAGAAAAATGTTGTGGTACAGAGGACATCCCTCCCTGCTCCTTCCGTCCTTCCTGTCCTCCTTGTTCCATCTCTCCCTTCTTCTCTCCCTCACTCCCTCCCTCTCTCCCTCCCTCCCTCCCTCACTCACTCACTCACTCCTTCCCTCCCTCCCTTCCTCACCACTATGTTCCTTCCTTCCGCTTCTCCCCTTCCTCTTCACGTCCTCCTGCTCCTCCTCCTCCACCTGCCTCCTCCTCCACCTGCCTCCTCCTCCATCTTTGTTGCCACATTCACCACTGTCATTCTTGTCATCACTGTCCCCACTGCCATCATCATCATCTGTTGCTGATGCCTCCTCGATCTTCCTTCCCCTTTGCTCACACTCCTTGCCTATCCCCGTGTTCTTGCTAACGAGGTGAAAGAGTAAAAACCATATGGATCTGCTGGGTCCAAAACCAACAACCATATTCACGAATCATTTCTGTCTTGCTTCTGACATTGAATTTTCTTGTTGCAGTTTTTCCGGACACATGTGGAAATACCTCTGCTCGAGATCTACATTGATGACAAGATGTTGGAGGAGCTGGCGAGGACAGGGCCTCCTGTTGAGAAAACAAAGTCGTCCATTCCGAAGTTTTCAAATGCTGTTGCATTGCGGTTAATCCAAGATAGACAAAGGCGTATCAGGTGTGCAAGCATTGCCAAACAGCTCACAGAGTCAGAAACAGATATATGTGCTTGCTTGATTGTTGGCATGTGCTGTGAAAGAAAAGTCAAGATGAGCAGATGATCATATGTACTACAATCTATAAAGCACAAAGCGGGCCCCGTAAGACCCGCCCAGTGGGCCCATGCCAAACCGGTCGGCCGGAAACTCGTGGTGGTCCCACCGTTTCATTTCCCAATCAGTGCTTCGACCCCCTCTCCGTTTTGTGCCAGTGGGGGCACGTCCCTTTTGCGAGGAACTGGGTCCTCGGCAGGCCTAAGGGGGCCCTGTTACAGAAGTGCCCGCCCTAAGTGAAGGCGGGCCTAACCAATCTCGAGAGGCCCTCTGCTGTCAATTTCGTATTCGGGGTCCAGGCAGTTGTGACGCGCCAGTTGGTTGAGGGAAACACAGGCCGAGCAGCGAAGACATTCCACGGCCTTCCAGGCCTATCCTGAAATGCAGGCCCTGAGCAAGAATCGCAGCCTCATACACCGACAGTTGGGAGGCCCAACCGAACGAGGCCCAGTAGCTGCAACAGAGGCACAACCTCCTTGGGCCTACCGGAAGCTTCTGGGCAGGGGCCCAGGCCAGCTAGGCCGCCGAGGGAGGCAGGCTCTTTCCATATAGGAAAGAGCTCGCTGCCTGGTGGGCATTCGGGCACTTGCATGCTAGCGGCAGCGCTGCTGGAGCGGACGCTCGTGGGCTGCTGCTGGCTCTGAGAGGCAAGGTGCAAGCACGTGTGGTCGTGTGTGAGTGAGGGCGCTGCTGAGGGCAGCGCCATAGCCCAGCCTCCATAGCTGGATGGGGCTTGGACTACAGTGAGGAGCAGGGGTGGTCTTCGGGAGTACAGAGGGAAGACGTGGGTGTAAGTCGAGGGAGAGAGAGAAGGATGATGATGATGATGATGATGTGAGGGCACATACCTGGTATTGGCGATGGTCTGCATTGGGCGACATCATCGAGTACTTCGTTGGCAACAGTTGCATTGTCAATTAGTAGGCAGATTGTAGCTGTGTAGGAAGTAGGCTGGGCGACGAGCGCCAAGTAGGGAGAAGGTCCTGGACTCTTGTGTTGGTGGTGGCGAGAGCAAGTTCTCATTGACATTGGTTTTCAGTGTTATGATTCTCCATTGGTGTCGTATTGGCGCAATGCTGCTTTCTGGACACTGATACTTTCTGGCTTTCAATGTGATTGTGCATTCTGGATTTGTCATCTCGCTACTGCTCATTTCCCTTGCACTTTGTTCATGGCCTCTTGTTTTTCTCTCTTTTTTCTCTTGGGTGGCGCTTCATTTTTGTTCTTTAGGGGCTGTTCATTCTTACAAAGCGGGCTTGGGAGCTGTGTTAGCTGTTTTTTTTTTTTCAAACAACACCAGCCTCTTCTATTCTGGGGGGCAGCAGTCCGGCTGCTTATTACCGGCAA